AACCAAATGATGCAAGCAGACCTCTTTTGAGACAGAAGAAAAATCTAAGTGATGCTATGGTACCGGGGGGGGGGGGGGGGGCAATTCGTGTCTCAGGACAATTAAAAAAAACAACTAGTTAGGAGTTTAAATGGAATGCAAAATTAGAACTTCAACACGGTGCTACTGAAAGTGTCACAGGCTTGCCAAAGAGGCAACCAAGGTGGTCTCAAGCCAATGATAATTCCCATAGAAAATTTATGATTTTGACTTTTTTTTTTAAGTTCCAGGAAAGGCACTTACTGCATGTTTTTCTGTCAATTTTTCTGTAACTGCTATTATGTTCAATGATAGTACACATAAGAGCCTATTTCAGTCAATATTATCTATACATGAAAGAAAAAGAGAGAGAAAATGACCTGAGTTAAATATTTCTCTCCTTGGTTGAAAACCAAAGGAGCATTTATAGGTCGGGGGGGATGAGGGACACATACATAAGGAATTCAATGCTACTATACAATATAATCTTTGTAAAGACCACTTTCCTCAATACTCTGCTAAATATTTGGCATATACCATGCATATATTTACTTTGGACGCTGCAGAAAATACCTTCAATTCTAGCAGAAACACAGAAAAAGCGTATGACAAAAAAAGCAATTGTTGCCAGGTGCTGCAATGAGATAATATTTACACAACTTAGGAGAAATAAATACTGCCATCTATCAAGGGACCTAAAATCCCCAGTATTCCCCAAACAGAATTCTTCCATGCACCCAGCTCATTTTCCAGATTTAGATTATTACAAATAAAAATGCTCACCCTTCCTCCTTATTCCTGCCCTTTGAAATTAAAGAGATTTATAATAGCATCTTCCCTTTCCTTAAGGGTTCACCCTTCACAGATTTATTGAATTTCTATCACTAACTAGGAACCCTCCTTCTGGCTTCCTTAGTTTGTAGCAATAGCTGTAAACTAAATATTGCTCTTTAGAAAACAAACAGGAGCAGAGAAGAGAGAGACTCATAAATCTTCTGTGATGGCCAACCTGAGATACCAGACTCAGAAAGTCTGTCAAGACAAAAAAAAAATCATTTACAGATTATAGATGGATTCCTTCTTTCTACAAGTCACACTGAACTGAGTGAAAGTAATGTTCAAAATAACAAGAACCGCCCAGTGCATTTTTAAAAAGGATGCCTTTTCCTCAGTTGCGGAAAGGTGTAAATGTGAATAGAGACAGGCTTTTATGCAGACCAGTGTAGCACTTGAGAAAAAGCTAGTGGTCTTTGCTGTAGCAGAAGAAAAACGGTGAGGTCATAACAGCATTCCATTAACACCACATCTGCTAGGAAAACAGATACTTGAGAATGGATGCCATTAACAAGCACGATCTGGCATTATAGGGAAGTTTAAAGAAAAAAAAGAATTGGTTCCCACTTTCTGAAAGAATAGCTATCTATCCTGCAATCCTTCATAAGCATATACATGTTGCGTGTATAATAAGTCTGTGGGTGTTTGGGAGGTATAAACAAAAATGTCATGAGATCTGGAGCATTTTTACTTTTTCTTAAAAACGTATTTCTCCTTTCCCAAATTTGAGAATCAAATGACAACTTGGGCATCATAGGTATCATACTGCTCTCCCATCCACCAACCCCAGAAATAACTGCCCCTAAGACAATCTTAAAGCAAGAGTTTTAAAATAGCAGGAATAAGCCAGCAGCCTGAGGTATGGGGCAATTCATTTATTGCTGTATACTATATGGGACTAAATTTATCTGGAACATCGAGCTCCCTTCACTATGGCAAATAATACTTGTATCCAATTATTTCAGTAATGGTATTACAGTACTTGGAACCTATCATAGTAAAAGTCATCTTCTATCAGGCTATTACAATCCTTAAGTCTCTGGAACATCCAATTCCAAGACCCTAAAACATTCTCTTGCTTCTGAGTTTGCACTGTATAAGGAATACAATCTGCTTTATCTCTGATCTAACAGCAATACCCGGAAGATCACAAATCCCTACTTCTGTGACAAGGAAACTCTTTCTTAATAAAATGCTTGAGTTACATACTTACTGAGTCCTCCTAGTTGTACATTGCTTTATATTTGTTGTATGTTTCTTATATTACTGGTATAAGTCTGCCCTTCCCAATCCAATCCCTCAAAACGAATGGAGAAATTGTAGAGAAAAAGGGAAAAGGCTAAGCAAGGAGTGATAAAGTTCACCTCACCCAAAAGAGGTTGAGCAAAATCAGTTCACCAGTGCAAATAATTCACAAGCGCTACAGAAGTCAACAATTTACACCACGGCTTTCTTGTTTTTGATATGCTTTAAGATACTTATGCTTTTTGGTCTTGTTTCCATCCTCTCTCAGCTCAACAAGCAGCATTTGTGAAACAAGAATATTCTTTTTAAAAACTCAAAAACACAAGATCGTGAAAACGCTATCCAACTCTAGGTAAGGGACTCCAAGGATCCGCAGATGCAGGCACCTGGACAATTTTGGGGACCATTAATTTTAACTCCAGCGTTTTCCTGAGGAAGGAAAAATGATATTTTCTCCCTGTCCCTGATGAAAATGATGTCGTAATACAGCTCTGCTAAACCACTGTAACATACATATTATAAATCATATGATTCTGGTACGGCTCCAGATGAAGGCAGAGAGGAGGGTGGTCAACACAATAAAAGGAAAACAGAACAGGACATGGCAAGAGAGGCATCAAAATGTTACCAACACAACACTTTATACTGAAGGCAAAGAAAAATAAAAAATAAACTGGCTTTTATGCTACTGAAAGGAGTGATGTGAGAAATGATGAGAGAACTTCAGAGCAAAGCAACGGAAGCAACATGTAAATGGCTAGCTATAATACCCCAGCAACAATTCATGGACCCTTTTGTAAATTTTCTGGGGCATAGAAATTCACCATGCACATGAGCAGCACTGAAGAATGTAAGAGGCAGGAGCTTCATGAAGGCTATGTAACAATTAAATATTTCCCTCAAAACTTTAATAAAAGAAAATCGGTCATGCTAACTGAGGAGCTGCCTTGTTTAAGTAGCAAAGGGAAAAGGACATAGGACTGATCAGCTGAACAATCTGGTAAGGTTCTGAACAATTTGTCTAACTGGTTCACACTAAACACAAAGAGATTTTAAGAACAATGCCGGAACTGTCTGAAGACTTACTGGGGTGGAGGTGAGTGTCACAAGGCCCCATTCCTTAACAGAGATTCCGCAAATACTCAAGCATCACTCCCCATCACTTAAAAAAAAAAAAATCTTGTAAGCACTGGCCTTCTTCACTTATTTCTTTGGTATTTGAACTTCCACTTTAGTTCCCTTTGTTCCAATTTCCTCATAATAATTGTTCTCATGTGTAACCTCGTAAAGGGAGCAAGCTGGCTAGCAAGCACTAAATTGCTAAAAAAAGAAGTTACAAATAGAAGATACAAAAGCCAATTCATAATTTATTCTCAATGGAGGGCCCAGCAACTGAGCCAAATATTGGATCATTTGTCAATTTGGAAAGAACTGGGCAAATCCCTTAGTGTTTCACAGCAATGCAATATCTCAAGCTAAAAGAACCCAAACTTACATTTCCCCCCCTTTAACTACATGGCCATAGCATTTGTCAAGATCTTAAACAAAGCACAACAGAGTCCAATACCATAGTTCCAACTTGCACTGTAGTAAAATGGCTTGAGTTGAGCCATAACACATATAAAGACCTCTCCACCACACCCTTAAGTTTCCTGGTGTTCTTAGAGTGGATCTCCTGGATCGTATGCATGCACAAATACTTTTAAACAAAGAGGATTAAAAAGAGGCTTTACACTAGGAACTGAAAAGAATTCCCCTTGGGCTAAAAGTTGAATTCATGCATTTGGAAGGCAAGGAACGTAACGTTTTCATCTTTCCTAGGCTCATTTTCCCTTGCGAGTTCAGAACACACAGTGGGTCATGGACCCTACAACTTTGGGTAGAAAAAAAGATGACGGGGACTTAAATAGACACTCCTTTCTCCATATATAGAAAAAAAGGAAATTAGCAGGAAGTAACTTTTTAAAAAAAGGTACAGATAGGTATGAGAGTCTAATCAAGTAGGGGAAGAGAACATGGAGGGGGGAGGGAGAGAAGGAAGACAAATCTAAAAGTTAACCATAAGAAAAGCTGAATTTCATATTTTTATAGTTACAATTAAAATGCAATATAGCATCTGAACATAAGCCTGAGCGCCGTTTAACAGCTCAATAAATTCCAAGTTAAGGCATTTGAACTACAACCAAAGACTTTGGTTGCAGCACTTTTTAATCTCTTTCATTCAAAAGAACATATTTTATAATTTTATATAATTACAATAATAACAATAATAATATAGATTTTTTTTTCTGCTAAAAAGTATTTCAATGATCATATACATTTAGAACCAAGGCATGATGGCATTGGGGTACTTAATAAAGGTGAAGAGACCTAATGGGGAAGGGAAGAAAAAGCAAAAATAAAAATTAATCAATCAGTCCTGGACCATCCCCATTTCCCAAGTATTCACTCTAGGCATCACCAGGCTGACCTATACAGCAAGCAGACCTTATTCTGCACACAATATTCCTGGGAGACAGAAATAGTATCTGAAAGCTGGATGTGGCAACTGAGTCCCCATCTTCTGTCACACTTCTGTAATGAAAGGCATCTCTTGGATCTTGAGAATCCACACATTTTTACAAGATCAGGTAGATCCTCAGAATCCATTGCCACTGATGTTGATCGACTGGAGATCAGCCACTTGCATGACATTGATGCCACTGCTTGCAAGGCGTGCGATGCCTTCTGGGCAGATGGCTTCCATGGCCACCATATTGGTTGCAATGAGGGTCGAAGGGGTTGCCCCACCGGTGCCCTCGGCAGAAGCATTCGCATCAATGGCGACTGCAGAGACGTCCATAGCCACATTGTTAGGTGCGCCTGCCTTCTTGTTTTGGTGGGTCTTGATGTGCTTAGAAAGATGATCGCTCCTCATGAAGCGCTTGGGACACTCAGGACAGGCAAATTTTTTCTCTCCTGAAGGAAGAAAACAATCATGAAGTTGTTCACTCATTTCATTCTTAAAACATAGCAGTTCAGTGTCTTCCCATCAACCGTGTCCTGTTTTTAGACAATCAGTAAAAAGTGTATCAAGCCAGCCAGAATTGGTTGTCATTCATGCTCGTCACCTCCAGTCTAGGTTACTGAAATGGGCATATGCAGGACCCTAACTTAGTAGGAAATACTTACAAAGGGTAAACCTAATGACACCTATTCTAGCTCTATTTCTTTCTCAGAGCTGTACAAAGCTTATTATTTTTAGATCCTTATTTATATCAAGAGTAGCTTTTATCTATGCAAGCCACTTTTTAAGTTCTTTAGGGTGATCTACATAAAATAGTAATAATAATGCCCAATGTGGGAGCCTATTTTGTTGTGGTTTCTTTTTGAAGAGTAGATTTCCTCAGACATCAGTCTTATGCCATCCAAATATACCAGTCATATGCCTATAATCACTTGATTTTCCCCATTCTATGAAGGTATTTCAGCTTTCTTACATTCAACAAATATTAGCCATCCAAATAAGTTTGTACAAAGTAGGCTTCTAAAAACGAGACATTTTCAATGCCATGTCCATGCATAGTTTATTTATTTTATTTATTTAGCCGTTAAATTTGTATGTTGCCCATCCCACGGCAAAGTGGCTCTGGGTGGCTTACAATAAAAATAATCTATATTACAATATAAACAATGGTATATAAAAAATTAAAAACCAATTCTTAGATTTCAGTTTGACAAAGGTGTAGACTAATTTTTATTCAACTGAATGTTCCCACATGTTGTGCATTATTGGCACATTCATATAGCTCTTTATGCCCCCATCCTCATTTTTCAATTCAAGGCTCATTTACAAGCCCTTAAAGCAGAAAGCAAATTAAATAATATTTAGTTCTGTTTTATAATCACGTTTGCCGTTTGTGTTATTTCGTTTACTTTCTATTTTGTTGTATTTAAGTACAATGACAATAAAAATTATACTTATTTAACACCTTTAAATTTGCTATTTTATATTCGTTTACAATTACAGTGAGTTGTTTTGGAGTGACGCAAATACATTCCGGAAACTTTATTTTCAAAGCACTTTCTGTCTCCACATCCCCACTGCATTTTATAGCAATGCTATTTCATTTTTAAAATTTCGAAGGGAGGGAGGTATTTGTTCCAAAATACCACTGCAATTTTTTAAAGCAGCAATGCTGCTTATAATAGCTGTAACTGTAGACACATCTTGACATTATACCCATGATATAAAAACTACAGAGTGCTAGGGGGCACTTTTACATGCAGTAAACTAGGAAGGGATGTGTCATACGCTTTACTTAAATCTTTAAGTAAATTTATTCTGAATATCCAAGAGGTCGCTTGACTTATATATAGCTGTATTAACAAAGAAGATGCCAATGCAAAACTCTTTCGAAACCTCTCCTTCACCTTAAGCTACACACAGCACTTATTGCTCCTTGCACTTACCAGTGTGTGTTCGCTTGTGTCGTTGTAGCTCATCACTGCGTGTGAAACGCTTGCCACAATACGTCCATGAGCAAACAAATGGCCGTTCACCAGTATGCCATCGGAGGTGAGCTCGCAGATGAGATGTCTTCCCATACACTTTCCCACAGCCTGGGATGTGGCAGATGTGCTGCTTCTTTTTGCCAGGGTCCCCAGAGCCTCTGAAAACGGTGACGTATGTAAGAGTTAATCAGAAATATTGGTTTGTTTACCATTTGTTTTGCCCCATGGCAAAAAAAGGAGAAATACTGTCACATAGAAATGGTCCATCATCTTTTTCGGTGATTGCCATGAATGCTAGAATCGAAGTCACAGTCTTCCACTGAAATCTAGTACTAATCACAAACTCTCCAATAATATAATGGGGGCAAACTGGATGGAGGTTACATTTTAATTAAGTGACCAAAACCATCCCAAATCTTTCCAAGTCTTTTGCCCAAGGAAGACACTTTGTGAAGACACACTGGACAATATTTAAATCACATATTATTGTCTCTGCACTGCTTGTTCTCCCATACTTTGAAAACTTCTATGCATTACATATCCCAACAGCAGCTATTTGCAGCTCCTAGAAAAGCACAGATGGTTCAGGAAAAAGCAAAGTGCAACTCTTTCCAGAAAGGTAAATGCTCTGCCAACACAGAGAAAAAGAGAGCGGTGTATGCTTGCATATACTTGGTAGCTATTGAGCAAAGTAAATCCTGACCCTATAGTTACAAGTTTCTAGATGTAACCTTTCCCCACGATCTATGCAACACAGGAATCATTTAATGTTACGTGTTTATGGATCTTATATAGTCTTTGACTTATGACCATAACTGAGCCCAAAGTTTCTGTTGCTAAAATTCACATTTGTTAAAGTGAATTTTGGCCCATTTTACCACCTTTCTTGCCAGAGTTAAGTGAATCACTGCACTTGTTAAATCAGTAACGTGGCTGTTAAGTGAATCCGGCTTCCCCGTTGACTTTGCTTATGAGAAGATTGCAAAAGCTGATCACATGACACTGGGAAAATGCAACGGTTCTTCTAAGTGTGAAAAATGGTCACTTTTTCAATGATGTTGTCACTAAATGAACTGTTGTTAAGTCAAGAACTACCTGTACGCCGTAAACCACTTTGAGGCTGCTGTAATTAGCTGTCTATTAACACTGCAAGCAAGCAAATAGTGCCACTTTGTCAAACTATGTGTTTTTATGAATCTTTTTTCCTTGCAGGCCAGTAGACACAAGAGAGCCGAACTCTATACATGTCAAGGATTTTTACTTAAAGTTTGTGTCCCCAACAGAACATGCTTCCCAAACTGGAAATTTTACTTCTAATGCACTAAACCAGGGGTGTCAAATTCAATTTCATTGAGGATCGCATCAGGGTTGTGTCTGACCTCGGGGGGCTGGGGTGGACATGGCCAGCTTAATGTCACTCGTGCCGGGGACGTCTGTGGTGGCCTGAGCGCTCTGACAGTGAAAACAAGTTCTGTTTTCGGCTATAACAGTCTCCTGCCGTCCTCTACTAGCAAAACGGGAGCTGGGGGGGGGGGACTGCGTGTGCCCACCCAGTCTCTATTTTCATCCATGACGGTCTCCTGCTGCCCTCTGCCAATGAAAACGGAGCTTAGCAGGGTGGTGCGCTGGGCCTCTCAGTACTCTGTTTTTGTTGGGAGAGAAACTGTCGGCAGGTCCTTCGCTGTTTCCAGGGTGGCTCAAGGGCTAGAACCAGCCCACGGGTCTTGAGTTTGGCATGCCTGCACTAAACCAAGAGTCTATGATAATCCCTTCCTTTATTTACTAACCTTTGCATCAGAATCCACTCAAAATTTTACAGCCGGTTTTCCTTTGACAAGCTTACCTGCCATCACTGTCTTTGCAATAAGGGCAAGTGCAGGCTTCTCTGCGCATTCTTCGGACTTGTTGTGGCTGGGCATCCGGACTGCCGTCCCCTTCTTCCAGAGTGGTTCCATCATCAGCCAGCCCATCTCCAGCAGTACCATGGAGGCTAAGATGGGCATTATGATCACCTGTAGAAGAAACTGGGATTGTTACCACCACAAAAGCAAAAAATAAATAAATAAAAAATAAATCTTTCACCAAATCAATGCTATTTAATCACACATATATTTCACTACCTGAAAGTCAAAATAAAGAATGGATATATCCAAACACAAGAACATATATCAACTATATTATCATTTGTACAGAGGTTGTTCTAAATGTTATTCCAAATTTTCCTTTCACTTCCTGTCTTTTTTCCTAGTTTGTTTTATATATTAACTTTAAAAAAAATGTCTTAAAATACTCTGGATGACACATCTACAAGCAAGCAAAAAAGAAGGACAGGCATATTTGGGGGCAAATGTTTGTGTGTAATTGTTTTAATTAAATTATTCCCAGTGTCTAGTGGCATGTATGAAATTAGGATTCTTAGCATATTAACACAGAGATGGCATCCTGATGCCATCATCAATCAGCCTTGTGCATACCTCAGGCTTGCATGCTTCATTCTTGCCTTTGCACTTCACATTTTTGAGTAAGCACGACTCAGCATAACGATAACACACAGAATGATAAAATTCTGTCTAAACACTGAAGAAGCTACTTGGGTAAAAAGTTAAATGTTTCAAACCAAAAAGAAAAGAAGTCCAGTTGCCATGACTCAACTTCCAGACTACTTTGTGTAATATTTAAACATAAAATTTGAAAAAAGGGAAATAGGCATCTTAACTCTGTTGAAAGAAGGAACTTACTTATTTATCAAATTTAGAACCACACACTTCACTATCCATGTGAATCTGGGTAGTATACAGAGACAAAGTTCATAAATCATGGTTTGCAACTGGCCTATTCACAAACTAACCAACTTTTAAATTAACCACACTTCTTCAGACTTGAATGGCATTCTGAACTAAAATTAATATTCCAAAACGTTTCACAACTAGATATGATGGAGATTTCTACAATCCTAATAGTTATAGAGAGCTGCTGGGGTATAACCAGGGGAAGTGGGGGAAGATTTGGGTCATTTTTAGTGTTTTGGGAACGTTTAGGGGCAAAATGAGTAACTTAATACTTGGATATACTTAAATCTGCTCTTAAAATGACCCAATTACTTTCCACTGAATAGAATAGGAATAGGAATAGAATAACAGAGTTGGTAGGGACCTTGGAGGTTTTCTAGCCCAGCCCCCTTCTTAGGCAGGAAACCCTACACCATTTCAGATAAATGGTTATCCAATCTCTTAAAAACTTTTGAAACATGGCCACAGTGGTGCTCTGCAAAGGCAGCTGTGGCCCTCTAGAATAGATGACAGAAGCCAATATCTTTGTTTATTACAATGTCTGCATGCAACAGACAAAAATATCCATTCTTATTAATAATCTGAAATGTATTTCAACTTTTACACAATGTTGAATATTTGATTCCTGCTGTGCATTTCTGAAACTTTTTCTGTTATATATTCATGTATGAATACATGTCGTATTGTAGGAGTTTCTTTTGAAACTTGCAAAATGCTGGGCTTAACAAAAATCTTTTTTTTAAAGTATCTGTTTAGCTGGAAATAATTGCAGCAAAAACCAAGAAAGCTAATCTGGGAAGCAGATGTGAACTAACCCAATGATAAAGGGAGGATAGGGAATAATGCTACAATACTACTCCTAAGAAAGAGATCCAGAGGAGCCTGCTAGCTGTCTAATTACGGTGATTTCAGAAAGGATATAAGCTTGAGAAATCATGTGTTAACTTCTGCACCACATTCTCTCTTCTTCCTTCCTGAAAACTAATATCCAATTACAAAAACCTTACAAATTATAGCTCAGTGCTGATGAGTTTCCCACTGCAAGATATAAAACACTTTTTAAAAGGAAGTGAGCTCAGGAGGAATGGCAAGCTCTGAAGCCTATCAATTTTTCTTCCCATTGTATTGGCCTAGGCTCAGGTTGCCATCTAATTGCTTTTTCTATAACTCCCACTTCACCTTCCCAAATCAGTTTATTCTCCTACAAGTTTCATTGTTTGGTCATTTTCCTGCATGGGGAAAGAAACCTGGCACATACTGTTACAGATGTAAAGCTCAGCAGGCCAGGCAATCTCTTTTTTTTTTTTTGAGGAAATTAGCATATGCCAAGTATATTTCAATTGAGCCAAGGGTTATGAACCGTCTTCAAGAATGCTTCATAACTCCGGCAATGTGGTTTCTATTTAAAAGAAAATATTGTCCTTAAAGCCAATGCTGCTATGAAGATTGCAACGCATATTCCATGCACGCCAGTGCTCCAAGTACAAGATAAATACGGAATATTCTTTAACAGGTGAGTGACTCACAGAAGCTGTTGGTGGCAAGGAACTAAAGGCTGTATTCCCTATGAGCCCTGATCCCACATAAATATTCTTATAAAGCTTTTTATACCGCTGACAATATCTCACATTTTATTTAGAGTGACATCCACAATGGAAAGCCTAACCTATGGTGATGCTCATTGCAAGAGATGCCCAAGGTGTGATTTAAATTGATAACTTTACTGGTACTTCCAATTGATGCTTTTTTTCCCCATACTAAACCAGCATTTAGCCTTGACAGGAACACTCCAAATCATAATATCCTTCCTTTGGCATCCTTTAGAATTAATTAATAAAATTACTCATAAATGCTGTCACCAGGGGTAGGTTCCGGCAGTTGCTACTGCTGATTCGCTCGTGGCTATACCGCACACGTGGTTCACACTTGATGTGTGCTGTGTGCACATTCGCAATGCAATAAAAATTGCTCTGCACATGCGTAGAGGAAAAACAAAATGGCACCGCCTATGAAAACCAGTTCGGGGGCATGGCAGGCCTGGGTCGCAGCTGCTTCCAGCAACCCAGGCCGCCAAACCACTACCGGTTTGGCTCAACCAATAGGAACCAACCACCTGCTGTTACCCGAAGCTCTGGTAACATGTACAAGTTCAAAAATGTGATTGAACATGTTCCTGGTAATGTCAACCGATTGATATAATCACAAACAGAAATAAATATTTTCCCCCATAAAATTGAATGGGGAAAACGGGGGCAATCCTAGGAAAATAATTCTTTCCAACTCTGTAGATTTAAATATATTTTCTTCACTTTCTTTTGTGAACACCAGAAACTGTATGGATTAACTGTGGAAACCTTCCAGAATGTTTCCAAACAATTGGAAATAAAGTCTTTAAAAGCTGTACAGTCAACTGTTTTCCTCAAGGAGAGAGGGAACATACAGTATCTGCACTCCCAATCTCTTCCTAAAGGAGAATTTAAGACAATCAAAAGCTTATCCTATTGTAAAGAAATAATTTTTGGTTCATTACAACTGAGTAATAAACTTTCCCTCCTGGATAACAACTATGAACTTTGCATCAACAATTTAAATAAGGAAGTCCTGATGTTAAACAAGCACTACAACTATAACATTCAAAAATGCATGAATTGTGAAGTACATAAAATGTTAACTTTTATTCTAGTGATTCGGATCTCCAGAGAAAGCTTCAGTTTTAAGCGAAACTTGTAAAAAGCAAGACCTGTTCTGATCTTTTTGTGCCAGATTCACAGAAATGATAAATTTCATGATTTTTGTGCCAAGTGCTAATGATTTTTGACCAATAGGAACAAACTCTTAGCAGCTGTCCTGTTTACAGATTTAATACCATGTTCACAGATGCTAAAGTTTCACCTTTCTGGCCCCCCAATTTTAATTGAGACAAAGAGAGACCAAATGTAAACACAAACTAAAGATGCAATTATGGACCGAAGAAAGGGAAATATTACTGAAGTGCCACACATCCAAAATGCTTAATCTTGGTTCTAAACAACCAACTATTCCCAAGAAACCAAATGTAACAAAAAGCAATAGTCTACTTCACACAGTGACATTATACAACTTTAATTGCCTTCATGTGGGATGGAGAGAAGATTCTGATATGGCCCCAAATCAGTCTCCAAACGAATTTCATTTCTTTCTCCAAATAGGTAGGGAAAAAATGGAAATAAGGTGATGGACTGGATTATGTTACTTCAAACAGGAAGTGCCGCAATCTATACTTCTGAACGTTCATTATGTTTAAAAAAAGCTAGAACAGATCGATGTGGTTAGAAAGTACACTGTCCTTTTTAATTACTGCTGGTTTCAGCCAATCAATCAAGAAGCTAAATCCTAACAAGGTTTGCTGCGTGCACCTGGTCCGTAACCAGAATGGCCTCTGCACAGCTCTATCTTGTGTCCCAGTTATGCCTTTCCTAGATTAGAAGGCCCTGCTCACTATCACTATGCTTTGGTCATTAATCTCCTCTTGTTTGAACTACAGCAATGCGCTCCACCTTTGGCTGCCCACGAAGACCGCTGAAAAACGTCCAGAAGGCAGAACTTTGGGCAATTTGGGACACTGCTTAATTGTTCTGCGTAAACTGCTGCTTTGAGAGCTGCACTGGCTTGCTCGTAGGTGTATTATCTTGTCCTCTGAAGCTTCTCGATGAAACAAAAGGTTAAAAAGTTATATATTTATGTAGCTACTTACCAAACACATTCAAATTATATTAATGCAACCAAAATCTCTTTACAGTTCCTCAAGGCATATCACAACTTTTGAGCACCCCTAATGTTTGGAAATTGAAAGTTGAAAAATTTGACATACCAGGCTAAAAAGGCACAGCAGTAACCTGAAGAGCCAGAAGGCAAAACAAACACTTCAGACAGCGTTGGAAGATAATAAGCTTGAGCAGATGGGACCTGATTCAGATAATGAGAGGATAGATTCTGGCAGGGCACCTAGCCCAAGAACATATCACTGGAGCAAAGGTAATCAGCACACCTGCCTATGCCAGCACCTGTGGCTATATAAGAACAGCTTCGGGGCCAGTGGTGGGTTGCAGGCGATATGCCCTGGTATGGGTGTTCCAGTGCCTGCCAGGAGCACCGGGTACTGTTCCGGTACGGTGCTCCAGAGGGTCCACTTGCACACCCGTGCTCCTTACTTGTTTTTAAACTCTTCAGCACTTCTGCGCACG